CTTCTGGAGAGCAGCTCTGCAGAGAAGGATGTGGGTGTCATAGTGGACAACAAGTTGACATGAGGCAGCAGTGTGCCCTTGTGTCTTCCCTCTCTACTCAGCCCTGGTGAGGCCACATTTGGAGTACTGTCCTGCTCCCCAGTACAAGAGGGATGTGGAGCTACTGGAGAGAGTCCAGCACAGGGCTACAAGTATAATCAGGGGYCTGGAACATCTACCCTGTGAGGAAAGGCTGAGAGAGCTGGGCCTGTTCGGCCTGGAGAAGAGGAGGCTGATGGGGGGACCTGATCAGTGTCTATAAACACCTCAAGCGAGGGAGTGAGGAGAAGGGGGCTGACCTCTTTTCAGTGGTTGACAGTGATAACACTAGAGAAAACAGCCACAAACTGAAGCACCAAAAGTTCCACAGAAACTTAAGGAAAAGTTTCTTGACAGTCAGGGTGACAGAGTCCTGGAATAACGCCTGGACGCAGCCCTGTGCCACGTGCTCTGGGCGACCCTGTGTGTGCATGAGGGTTGGACTAGATGATCTCTAGAGGTCTCTTCCAACTTTAATGATCCTATGAAAGGTTCTGAGCAACCTGATCTGATTTTGAAGTCACTTCCAAGAAATATTCTTCTACGGTTCTTAACTACATGAGATGACGTTTGCTATCCATGCTTCTCATTCACTGCATGCCCACAGGCATTCCATTTAACTGCAAATTATATATGAATAGTATCTGGTCATGATGGCCAAGGAGTGGGACCAAAGGAAACTTAATGGTAGGGCAATGACAAGGTTAATTAACTTATATGAAGGAATAAAAATTCTCAGAGATAAAATTGCAATCTGTGAATACGTATATGGATACTCTTCTGCTAGGGCCACATCACTGACCTTCAGATTAATATGACAATAGTGACTGATACGCTGAGATAATGGAACAAAATGCARTAATGAAGATGAGAAGATATATCCTCATCTGTATGACATAAGAAGCCTGAAGTGATCAATCCTTGATGCAAATAGAGAACACAAAGAGATGATGCACTACAGAGCACAAATTAAAGCACAGGACTTAGAACAAAACATTGCTATCAAAGAACCAGTGAACAACAGTGACCACAAAATAGTCACATACGAACAACGACTTCAAGAATCAGTTAAAAAACACATTCCACAGAATTTAGTTTCAAAGAAGGACCAACATCAAAATGCAGATACTTATTAAAGAGACAGGAAACAGAAGAATTAAAAAAAAAAACTGCACAGGCACGGAGATACCATGTTGAAAGCTTAGCTTAGTTGAAAGACAAAGCTTAGAGAAAGACCAAAAGGACAAAAGAACTCATAAACAGTCTACTAAGAGGAAGAAGATGCGTTTCTGAAAGTATTTAAAGCAAATTAAGGCACAATTATGAACTCTCACCCCTGGAGCCACTCAGTAAGCAAGCATGTTTTCCCAATCAGACTAGCAGAATTAACTATAATGTGAATAAAGARAAAAGGAAGAAAACATGCTAGTTTTGTAGAAGCAAATAATGCTTCACACTCAAGCCCTTTAAAGGGTTTGATCATAAGAGGACTGTAAACAGCTACTGAATAAACTTATGGTAGTTGGTCACTTTGTGATAAGACAGAATGATAAACTGGACATTAAAAAAAMCAGTAGTCTTTATTAGTAATAACCATAGAAAAGACATTAGCCACTCATACACCAATGTCTGTCTCCAAGTGAAACAAAAATGAATAATAATCACTGCCAATCAAAAATGAAAACAGCAGTTTATATCCAGTCATAGTACAAAAAGGGGAAAAAATATGAAAACGAAGGAAAGGWAAACATGAATTCTACTGATTTCAGTCTGATTCTACTGAACTGGTATTTGCCAAATCTACTTGAAATCTAAGCTATACCTTYATATAAAATATTATATTCATATAAAATGAACTTCAGAAACCATACAGTTACAATCAGAAAATGTACTAACAAAACATAATCCAAAATACAAGGACATTTCATCTCAAGAAAGCAAGCAAGCAGCAGGGAGAGATAAGGAACAGGATAAAAGGATAACAGAATTAAAGACTTAAGGGAATAACTATCAGTACTCCCAAAACACTAAGAGGTTTTGCAGAACTAACTGGTCTCACAACTGACCTTCTGTGTGTCACATACGTCCTTTTCCCTTAGTATTCACCGCCTGTCACCATCACGCATACAACATTGTGCAATATATACCTGGACCTCACACGACTGTTCTTGGGGCTTTTTCCCCTTTTTWGTCATGATATACAGAAGTACTTAAGAGGTTCATCCACCTCAAAAAAAAAGGAGGAACAGTGCCCAAGGCACTGCAAAGAGGCAGCCCCTTTGGCTAAAGCATTGGCTAATCCCCAAAGCAGCTATTCTCCAATATGTTGATTCGTGCTTTTTTTGTGTGTGTGTGTGGTTTTGTGTGTTTATTACAAATCTGTAAAGCAGGAGTGCTTGAAGAACCGATTCTGGTGATCTCCTGAACTGAGGYTCTTCCAAGTATTCTGGTCTTCCTGCACCTCAGAGGTAGACAGAGGTAGACAACACCTCAGTCTTTTAACACTCCCAAATTTGAAGGAAACTCTCAGCTCTAGTTCCCAAGYAGCCTGCACACTAAGCTAAACTTCCCTTGACTCCTTACCCTCACCAGCCTTCCTTTTCTCAGAAGAGAAATACAGCACGGGTTCAAACCCAAGAAACTGTTTCCTGGTCAAAAGTAGCCATATGCTAGAGAAACCTCCTGGTTCTCCAGGCATAGCTGAACGAGGAATAGTTCCAAGGGAAATAAGGGAAAGAGAGTCAAGAAGGAAAAAAACGGGGCATATGGAAATGAATTCTCATCAAATCCAAGAGATTTCCCATATATTTATTGTTAGGTGTATTTACATATGGTCCTGGAATTAGGAACTAACTACAAGAAGTTAYAGAATAAGCAGTGGTATATCAGCTACATAGCATTTTACTATAAATAAATCAAAAACAATAGTGCATAGGWCCATTATTTAATTCTATTGACTGTGTACAATATTCACATTTTACATGGGTAATAAAAAAGTAAACAGTTTATCATTAGAGTGTTTTTATTTTAATAAGGGTTTCACACTTTAGTTTTGATAATAGWTATATTCTTTCAAATACAACTTAGTATTTAACTTTCTTGGTATTTAACTTTTGAAGAAGATTTCCAAAGTTTCACCAACCATAAAACTCATAATTTCTGTCCAAGACAGTTAGTGATTTTAAACTAGCAACTTACTTATTCTTAAAAAAATACCATTTGGGCACTTTATCCAGACTAGTAACATGGTAGTTAACTGGATGCAATATTCACACACACTCTCCAGTACCATTTGACAACACAAGGTATGTCACAATTGAAGGCAAAGTAAAGTTCCAGGTATTTATTTTAGCTTTTTAGTATTAAAGACGGGTATCTGGGCAAGAGGCAACCCAGAGGAACAGCATTCAATTTCTACCAGCCATTGCCAACATATTTCAGTTAGCACCTCCATAAACTTACAAGCCTGCARGTTATCTACACACCTGCCACATGTGGAAAAATACACTTAAAAAAAAGCTTTTAAAAGACACACGAAGAGTGGATATATTAAACCTCAAACTCCACACACTATGAAGGACTTCTTCCTCAGCCCTCCCTGCCATGACAGTTGTTGCAAATGTTGCCCAAGCAACTCATAAAGTTGTCAGACAACTGCAATTTCCCTCTCTTCAGGCAAGGAAAGTTGCAGGATCCACATGATCCATGCCAATTTYAGACAACAGCAGATACTTCATATCTAGGAACTTAAACTCTCCTTAAAAAGTATAATTAGAAATTAAAATATTGAGAAAGGAACATTTAGAACAACTTACCCTGACAGGAATCCTAGCAAACATGAATCAATAGAGATTTCCACATTTCATCTAAGAGAAACTTTTTTTTAATGCCCCCCCCCCCCCCTTTTTTTTTTTAAGGAAATGTCTCTACGAATAGTTAATGCTTTGCTGGGGTGGATATTAATGAATATAGGTATCATACAAACAAAAACAGAAAGGCTATTCGCTAGCAAAAAAATATGTATTTTTAAATTGGTAACTACTAAGCTGTTGAGAAAAATGAGGCAAATAGTGGCACGACACACTCCAGAATCCACTGGGAAAGAAAAAGCTAAAAGACACAAAGCATTTTTTCCACAGTCTTTCCTGATCTTCCACMCACCAAGCTCTATCAAACATTCTCTTTTAGAACAAAGAACTGCATTAGTAGAYATCCAAAGAACTAAAAAGGAAACACAAATAAGACTGAARGGGAAAACAATTATTTTGTAACCTGGGGTATGCCACCTGTGACATAAGTCATTCTGAAAGTGCTGATAAAGCCTAATGTTGTATACAGTTTTTGCTGTAGAGCTCCTTTCTGCTGAAGTAAGCAGAAGCAAGTTTTCTGAGCAGCAACCAGCTCAGAAAGAAAGCAGTAGACTACTTAAATATAATCACCTTAATGTATTGCACAGTACCAGGCAGTTTTTACATATCCAACAAAGCAGTGTTTCCTGAAGCAGCATTATATGAACGACAACAAAAAACTTAATTCACATAATCCATGTACCATCCCGCTTGACTGTCTTCTAGATGATCCTGCCTTTATTTGGAATGGCTTCAAGTTACTGCAGTTTACTGTAATATTTTGTTTCCAGTGACAGGGAAAGCATTCCTTTCAATCAGCAATAGATTTTCTACAGACACACATAAATACAACTATTATTCCTGTAACAATTAACCTTTTTTTCTATAGGACTGAATGAACATGTAGAATTTTTCCATTTAGACCTTCTTCTTTTTTACAAAGCAATGTGTGTAGTCTGTGGAATATTCCACACAGATAGACAAAGAAATCTTTCCTTATTTTCCTGTGCTAAACAGTAGAAAAAGGTGTTAGTTACATACATTTGCTAACAAGAGAAACTKCTAACTACTTACATTGTACTGCATATGATGCCAGGACAACAGCAGAATTAAGAGGACATGACAACCTGGAAAGGAAGACAAATTTGTATTTAGATATTGACAGTATAAATGAAGTGTTAGCTATCTTCCTGCAAAGAAAAAGTTCATAAAGACCTGTCTTTATCTTCGAAATGTCTCTTAAAGTTTGGTTACCACACAGCAAGATGATAAAAGCCTTTTGTGGTGTAACAGCTCCTTCATTGAATGGAAATAAGTAGTCTGAAAAGGACATGCTGCTATCCTTGTTGGATGCTTATTCTGGAAATCAAAAAGGAAAGGAATTTTTCTGGGGCTCTGAATGTGATTTTAACAGCTGCTGTTATACCCCAACTAGACCCAAACACTAAAGCTGGCCAAAACACCAAGCACCAAGGCAGTATAAAAGTGACTCCACAGAAAGAAGTCAACACCTGCAATCCTAACTCCTAAATGCATTCTATATTTATATTTGGCAGTGGTTATTTGGACTCTTCCCTCTTTCTTTTAAATACACAAACAGGAACCGCAGGTAAACGAGCCACTGAGTATATGCCCATCATATCAGTAACGTAACCCAAGGAGTACAAACACCAATAGCAAAAACTTGCTGAAGACACCAGGTCCCTTATGTTTAGATGGCTCTAGGTGGCRTATCTTTGCTTTCATAAAGATAATCTTTAGGGTTGACATGATACCTGCACAGAACACAGCATCTGCTACAACTCACAGATTCACAACAGATGTCTAACTTCTTAATAAATAAGCTAAGCAAGAATTTGCAACATTTCCTGACAGCTTGCTTTTTAAAAGCATTATTTCAGGAGGTAAATTTTTACAGCAACAATAAATATTCTCAGAAATGGCTTTTTTTTTTTTTTCTATTTAAAGAAACTAAAAAGGTGAAGATTCTTCTATTACCTTCCTTCCAAAATATCAGTCTTCAGCTGCAAGAAGAATAAGTGCCTAGGAAACATTTTGAAGAGAAAGAAAAAAATACTGTTTTTAACACTTAAAAGGCACAGTTTGAATGGTTATAGGTAGCAATTGACAGGGAGGGTTTTCCTCAGAAACTACAGAAGCAAGAGAATATACTGGTATAAACAAATAGGTAATGACATACAAATACTATTCTGCAGCAGTTTCAGAGATCTTTTGCAGCCTACAATAAATCCAGGACCACAGTATCAATGTCAAATGATTAAGAAAAAACTATGCCCAGGTGCTACAGAGCATATCTACAATGCAACTCAGGCCCATAACTGATGCTGCAGAACAAAAGCCAGTCAAGAACTGGGCTCCTTTTCTATGAGGGATATTCATCTTGAACGTATAAACACTTTAAATTTAAAACCCATAGTCCATCCTGGGACTAGTTTAATGTTCATTTTTCAAGCAGAAAAGCTCTTGCAACAATTCTCCAGGAACTCTTAGTCCTGCTCATGTTAGAGCACTGGACAACTTCACTTAAGAGCAGTGCTGAAGGGGAGATGTTAAGATGGGATGTTTTAAACCATGAAGAGTTGATCTTCGAATAATTCTAGTTTTAAACTACAGAACAACTTACAAATGCATGATTAACCAATGTAAAAACAAGAAAATTATTTCACGTTTCTACTATCTACACTCTCCAGTCACTGAAAATATTAACTATTAACATTTAGACAATGAAGACTGTTACAAGTACCAAATCCATGGGTCTCAATTATTTCTAAATTTCTAAATTATGCACACTGAACACAAATATTCTGCAACAAGTTACCTGAAKACAGCAAAGTGCATCAAAATTCCCAAACAGAATTCTAAGTTAAAAGTAAGGGACAACACAGAACATGAGGATTTATCTGTTCTTCCCAAAATAAGGAGTCCCCTACACACAGCCCTGCAAAATCAGTCCACTCTATCTACAAGTTCAAAATACTGATTTACTGGTGATACAGCTCTCCTAATACAGACTAAGGACAAACAAATAGCTTAAAAACTGAACAATATTTTTAAATCATGGCAGCTGAATAATTATGGGATCAGGAAAATAAAAGAAAAATAACAATAGGCAGGTACTTCAATTGCTGAAGGGTTCAAAAACGAACTGAAGGTGCAAGTAAGCAAATCAATTAACCTCTTTATATTGGCTTATATTGTGTTCTTGTTTTTGAAACTTGGGCTGTGTATAGTAGAAATCCCTCATTCCAGACAATGCAAACAGTGAATTCCAAGCACTTTTAATACAAGAAGTTATAGAAARCTATGTTCAGAATAAAGCATAGTTCCCCGAAACTAATGGCAGGGGGACAGAGAGAGGGACAGACTCTACTTATTCTTCATTTATGGAGGTGAAGTGCAAACATAGAAGTTACCTGGTTTGTTCTTGCTGAAGTGTGTTGGGATCGGGTATAAAAAACCTTACGCGAAAACAAAGGGTGCAGGGGAAACCTCCTGCAATGTTTTAGAAGAGCAAATCAATTTTCTCTTTAAAAGGGAGAGAATCAGATGTTTTTAATGCCTATATTTACAGAAAAAACACATGAATGATCAACYACATTGCAATCTCACATGCTTTCTCCTGGAACAGAAAGAAGCCATGAGAAATTTTCCCWGACCTCCCGTACCAACTATGAGAAGAAAATATTCTCAAATACTGTGGCTTTTTCACTTAAAATCCTTCGGATGTGCTATTCTAGCTAAAGGCACTATTTAATTGTCATCTGTGCCCCCTATGGTTATTCTATGAGGGAAAAAGCAGCAAATCCATTAAGGGCTTCAGTCAGGACAAGTGTTAATCCTACCTTACACGCACATACACACAAAATGCAGAAGTTCACCATATTAATTCCATGTATTTTTATTTTCTTTCAAACACTATCTACAGCTTATTGGAGAAATAAAAGAACTTTCAAATGCAAATTTCTCTCTCAAATGCAAAAAAGTTTACAGCAGAAATTGTGACTAACTCTACCATACCAGGCTACATTCCCCAGGCTGCTACCTGGACAGTATCACAGGGACTGGGAACTGGCTGGTCTGTCCTTAAGCTCCTATTTCCTCATTATTTCCTTATTCTGTGCTACCTGAAGCTGTTCATAAACACAAAAATACTAGAACAATAGAGGCACTCAAAAATACTTAAAAATAACAACAACAAAAAAGCACCCCCACCCCTACACCCATTAGCACCATTAACTGGTTACTGCTTTCATTTACAGCAACAAGAAATGCCAAAAGTTCTGATCAAAAGATTCAGAGATAAGGCTCAAAGAAAGTCTACCTTCTGGACACTAATATTCAACAGTTGTATTCATTCTAGTCGTAGGAGGATAGAAAAGCTTGACTACACAGTCACAACCAAGGTATTAAAAACAAGTCTTACCTTTTAACTGTTTTCTAATAGGTTTGCTTGGTTCAAGCCATCGCTGTGAAATGAAAAACTATTAGATGGATTAAAAATATTTATAGACAAACACTATTTTGATATATACAGATTTATTATTTACTATACTCACAGGAGAATCTACCGATGTTTCGTTTTGCTGTAAACCAAAATACTCCTTCTCTGTCACACCCAACTGGTTATATGCCATATCCAACAAAATTTGGCCAGTGTCTTGCTTCTGAAAACAAGAAAACCACAGAAGTGAAATTCACCAGCATGCAAAAAAAAAAAAACCACACACACACACACACACACAAAATCAACTGAAATTAGTTATAAAAATTAATGAATGAAAACCATGCCCTATGCAGAATTTCTGGTAAACTAGGAACTTTATTACAATGAAAGCTTTTTCTCCTCCTCCTCCCCCCCCCCCCAAAAAAAAAAGTATCCCTTTCGAAAAAATGTGTACATTTTGTAATATGAATTGGCATGATTTCAGTCCAGGAGATGGGTGCAACAATTCGGTTTTAAGTAGTCTGCCTCTCTCATGCTCAGATTTTGAGAGCCAGCACTGCCACGTGCTGCTGTTACAGGCTGCTGTGGTCCCTGTTGTCACCACCAAACCAGCGGTGTGCCTTTCTCCAGCACCCCTCTTGCAGGGAAAAGACTGTACATCCTAACTTCTTTCYTTAAGCTGAAAGATACTGTACTGCTGCTTTCATTTCCACCTTCACATCGGTCTCCAAATAYTCAGCTATGATTCAGCTACCTCCCTTTTCTTTCCTGGACCCAGGTCTCTGCTGGCTGATTTTGCAACACTAAATGCTACCTAACACTTTCTTCCACTGGAGCAGAACACCTAGCAGTTCATTGGCAATACCCGCACACTTCTCTCAAGTAGCATATTTCTAAACCTAGCTTAAAAATTGTGAAATCTCTGCCACAAGTGGTAGGAGTTCACAGAAACATTCAGAGCCGGGACACTGGGCATCTCCAAGACGATTCCACCCAGCGCAGTCAGAGGGCAGCATCTTCCACAGAAGTGGGGACATTTGCTATGAGGACTAGCAATGCACGTGCACAAAGAGGGCCCAATGCAACTTGCAGATACTATCTTAACTCTCTGAAATATAGGCATTTCGGACTTRCAAGCTTTTTATTTACCTTTAGCATTGCCTTAGTATACCATTGCTCCAGGTTGCATGGGGTTTTTTGTTTTTGTTTTTTAAGCAGAAGGCTAAAAACCTCTATCAGGTGACACTTGCGCGACCCAGAAGCGTGACTTCACATCTGTGATGTGTATTTCTGRCACTTGAGCTACATGAGGAAATCACAACAATACTGTGACCAAAAGCAGTCAAYGAGACATATGCTCTACCAGAAAATAGTAGAGAAGAGTTCAGGATTCTTGGGTTAACCTGGAACCCTCGTAACGCTTTTCTTTCATGCTCCTCCCTTCTGATGCTTCTGATCAGCATCATTTCTAACTTTTCTGGTTCTTCATGTGAGTGCCAGGACCATCACCTTATCTTTGTCTCCTCACAATTTCAATCTCCTCCTCCACTGCACAGCAATTCCTAGCCCTTGTACTACTTTCCCAGTAAAAACAATTAAAATCCCTGTTCCAATTTCCTTGCTCAGCACTTGTATCTTGGTAATATTCCCAAATGTCTCCAGACCCTAAATCYAGCTCAGCAAATACCAGCTCTCCTGCCTACCTACATGCACAGTTTCATTCTCCTCCTCTCTCCTTTCCCAAGCCACTGCCAGTGCTACTTGTCTGTGGCTCCAGGTCTTGCTCTCTGGTATCAAAAGCAGGAGGATTCTTCTTCCACAGTGCATAGACAAGCTTAGAGAGAAACACCCACTCCAGAAGCCTAAACCAAGTGCATTAGTTATTTTCAACTGTYAAAAACCTTTTTCAATTGTTAAATTCCTTAAGCTGAAAGACACAAAGAGTATTTACTCAGTTTGAGAAGCTTATAGGAAGACAGGGCCTGCATTTCCCTGCCACAAGCACATTGTCAAATACCACATCCCAGCGTAAACTACGAGAGCCTCAGGTTAAACGCACAGTTAACTCCCCTTCCCATTATCAAACAGTTTTTTCAAGAAAATAAAATGTGACTTTAAGAAAAAATTGACTTATTTTTCACCCCATACATCAACAAATAGAAACAACTCTCATTGCTTCATTTTTCATCTATTTGCACATAAACAAATCTTCGGATCTAGGTACAAAGCAAGGCAGTATGAGTAAGTCTTACCATTGGTTTTRGTTTTTGACATATAACAGACAATCCAAAACCACAAAACATTTTGTAATACTACAGCACATCAGGTGCTTTATAAAACAAAATATTTTTATTCTCCTCTTAGAAAGGAAAGGGACAGAATAACAGGATGAATAAGCACTAGAATCAAGTTCTTCTTAGCCTGATGAATCACTTCAGCAAATAGCTAATATATTCTTCCACAATAAAATTTAAAAAAAAAAAACAGTTTCTACACTAGACAGTTGAGTTCCAATGACATATTATTGAGATAATTGATCTTAAGAACAGTAAAACTTCTTATATGAAAAAGAAACATTTCCATGAGGTCTATTTGCTCTCACTCTACAAGGAAGTTGCCATTTCATCTTCCTAACATTCACCAGTGCTTACCATGAAGTGTTAAAAGCTTTGCCTTAGCCACCTCTTGACACACCCCATTCATCTCTATTTAAGTCTGTCTTTAAACTTACTTCACCTGAAGCTTCATAGGCCAAAATTACCATTCAATGGCAGGATAGTATCACAACCAATACGTAGCATGTTCTCCCTGTACCACAATAATTTCCTGATGTATTTATGAAATTCAGATTATACCAAGTTCAAAATCTTTAAGTTTGCTAAAAACTATGCTTTAAAAGGCTCCTAGTAGAACTCTTATTATTTTTAATATTTTCTAGAAGTTGGGATAACCAAGACCCACTGTCCTAAGAGCTCTGTCTCTCTGTCTTTATACTAATAAACAAAGACTGTTAATTCTTTGGACATAAAAAACAGTCTAATAACAGTTTAAACTTCTATAGTTTAAACTTCTATAAAGTAAATGGTATATAAAAACATTTTCAAGAGGACAATACAATACAGTAAATCTCCCTTTCCTTCTCTACAACCCAGAGATGTGCTTTTGTAGAGAAGGACCAGGAGATGTGCTGTATTCTCTCTTTCTCCCTACTTTCTGTCAATGGGACTCTCCCATTTATACTGTAACATGGAGTAAGACCAAATTTTCAGTACTCTTTCTCAATTCACTTTCTACTTATTTACAGTGGGAAAAATACAGCCCCGCCTATGTATGTATGTAAAGCATACTTAGACATTCAAGCATCTTAGCCTAGTAATAGCTAAGAATGCAGTCCATATCATACATGGAAACTTAATCACAACCAGGTACCTTGCAAATACGGAACTCAAAAAAATCCCCAATCTTTATTTTCCACTAATACATTGAAGCTCTTTTCAATTGAAAATACAACACAGAGTCCTTAAAAAAAGTGATCTGTTTAGTCCCAATTCTCCAAGTCCGGACTGAAGAGAAAACATTTGTATGTGCTCATATGCACATAATGACAAAACAAAACCATAAAACACTTTTGCACAAGACCTTGTTTTCTTATTTGTCTTTGGCTAGTTACATCAGAAAACACCTCCATACTATCAATTCATTATTAAACACRGTAGTTCTAACAAAAACTTTCTGTAAAGGGACAGGGAAGGACTTGTCTTGATAGGAAAACCTGCTCGGAATAAAACTTGCTTTCTGTAATTATACCTCTGTATCCTATACCTCTGATTCCCGCACAGACCACAAGTTAGGACACAGAATGGTGCTGGCTGTCAGTGCAAGAAAATAAAAAATAAGCTAACACTATAAACCTGCCCACAAACACTCAGGCCCAAACTTCATTAGGCTGAATTCTTCTGTTACCATCAGCAGAACTGTTAAATACCAGTTTGCAGRAGCTGGCCTCCAATCTCTTTCCCAGCTGGAAAGTTTGACACCGTGAGGAGACAGCAGCAAAGCCAGTTCCCAGGCTGGCTAACCAGGCAGGGCAGTCCAGACCGAGGAAGGCAGGCTCCCTCTGTGCTAGTATGAAGGTTCCGTCGTGCACAACACCCATATTGCCAAAATCTCTTCCCTGCATTACCCAGTAAGCCCATGGGACAGTCACACTCATCACTCCTATTCTGTCAGAGAGCAACGTGTCCCACGTGACATTTCAGGAAGGAATTTAAGCTCAGCTTAGCTCCAGTTCCGGAGGCCTTTGCRATCCCTGGCTCAAAGGGGCAAATTGATCCATGGCTGCAAGACACCGAAGGCACCAAGAGAATCAGCAGGCTCCGCTCTCACTGCTCAAAAGATGACATGGGCCTGACACCAGGAGCATGAAGTGTAAGTTGCCCAAGTGCTGGATTTCAACTAAAAGTTATGCCAGCACTTTGCTTACAATGAAGAATATACTAGTTCAGATGAATTTGAGACTATTTTAATTCTTCCTCTTTCAAAGATGGGGGCAGGGGACAAGGGTAGTAGCATCTATTCCAGACCGACAGATAAAGCAATCCTGTAGGGCCAACTGGAAATGAACGGCAGAACTTTTGTAGTAAGGTACTGTCCTTTTTCATATATATCTCTATCTATCTATAAAATATACACACACACACACCCTTGTTGTACTCCCCCCCCACCCAGCCCTGAGTTTAGCCACTTCATAATCACAAGATCTTTTAAATGCCCTTAAAGCACAGGGAACAAGGAGGAGAGTGTTTGAACTTAGATAAGATGCAGAGTAAGACATCTATACAAAGTGCCACCTTAGAGCAAGCGGCAGCCCAGATCACACAGGAGTAGCAGCTGCACGGCTACCTCCCTCCAACTCTCTTTCGTCTTAACATACGGGATGAAATGGACACCTTATAAGGTATATTACCAGACTCATAGGTTTATACTGAAGATTATTTTGCAATAGAAAAGTTCACTTTCAAAGTCATCAATAGCTAGCAACTGATTTTAAGTGTGCCTAAAAGCAGGAAAAAAATCTATCCCATTAATCTCTACTACGCTGGCTTTCAAAAATGGACACAAGTGTGTAATATTTACAGTACTTACTGTAATTAACAAACAGCATTCGTAAAACAATGCTGTTTACCAAAGTCATTTCATTTTCATACATTTAACCACACATCAATAAACACTCTAGAAAATGACACTAATTCTCTATATACTAGAATCTAAATAATTAGGAACCAATCATACATTTGCCTAGTAAATATTTTTTCCTCAATCAAAATCCAACAGAAAGTTCAGAAATAAAATTAGTCAGGTACAGATAACTAGAAATAGATTTTTCCAGGTGAAGCTTTGAATCTCCTACCRAAAGGTATTCTGTAATCTGTAAGAGGACACAGGTGTTTTCTCAGATTTTCTTTGGATACCCAACACCATTGGCTCAGAAAACCCTCTTAATTCTCAAATTATAAAGGAGATAAACTAGATGGTAACTAAGCTAGAAGGTAAACTAGATAAAGAAAGTATCATTTCAATGATACAAATTCACACTATTATCCTTAAATTGATTCAGTTTCCCTACACGGTCAGATAATTATACTAAAAACCAATTGAGCATATATTTCCTTTCTTTTCAAATAAAATTAAAACTAAGCACTTTTAATGAGAACTGAAGATTAAGAAACAAGCTGTTTACAGATAGCTCTAAAACACTGTCCTGATGTATAAGTGCAACACATCAGTAGTTGTACCAATACAGGGTATTTCAGTTAAAAAAAAAAAGGGGGGGGGGGGGGAGGCTACAAATCAGTCCAAAGTTTCCAATTTCCTCCACATTTAAGTATAAAAAGGCTGATCAGCAAATCCATCTCTTTTAAGCTACAGTGTCTTCATTATTTGCAGCATCTTTGTATTAGAGAAAGTAGGTATTGACATTGCCACAGTAGTGTACTGGGACTGCTCCTTTTTAACATTACAAATTCTTTGGGGAGAGAAAAGAACCCGAATTTTGAAGTCCTCTTTAAATACAAGTTGCTTATTCATCCCTGATAACCATCAGAACTGACCTCCCCGTGGTTCCCCTATCCCTCAAGAGACCTTTTTCCTGACACATCCTGCATGGCATGACTTTGCCATCTGTCAGTTGACATTAGAGGAAGTTTAAACTTCTCTAAACGACTTAACAGCCTCACTCCATACCCAATAATTCTGCACCTTCAGCAGCTACTTCTTCAATATCTTATGGGGAACCCACGCCTCGGGGTCCCRCATACCATCTTCAATTCAAGCAAGTTATGTTTAAAAAAGGGCGGGGGAGAAAAAAGAAGTTTGCAGAACTTACATTGACTTTGAAGCTTTGTACTGATCCATCCAGAAAGTGCACGTTACAGATAATCTCCGATCGAGTTTTCTCYTTTGGTAGTTCCGACACCCTTATATTATTTATCCTCCCACCTAAGGCTCGCAAGCGGGAGTTCATAACTATTGCCGAATAACCTAGAAAACAAACAGACAAACCATATTTAACAGAAATTGTCATAATTCAGAGAGTTATTGTACTTTTACTTACAACAATACTTGCAACATGAAGGCTTTATTACACCCAAACATGTAGACTAATAAAAAACACTTTAAGAGAAGAATAAACTGTAAGATTAACAAGTCACAAACCAGAAAATACATGCCTATAGAGAGGCTCTCATGATTCAAATGTACTCAGCTTAATGTAATCACAGCTAAACCACTTCAGCTTTTGTTTAAATTAGGTATGCATTTTTGCCTTTTTAAGTCAGTAAATAACCCAAATATCTATTATAGAGTAGAAAATCAATGCTAAGAGAAGTTTTTTTAATCTCTAATAATTCCATCACAGCTTTATAATATCCTTTAATTTATGTTTACCACAATTTTCCCAACAGTGAAGCTTCCCATCCCCAAACCACTGAGCAGAGAAATAGTTTTGTCTTAATGCAGATTACCTTCTGCTAAGCAGCGTTTTGCTATAGGAATACATATAGCATATGTAAAGCAACCGGAATACACATTAAAAAGCGTGTCCTTGTTACAATCTACAAAAGTCTGCTTTTCTGAGGGATATTTGTAAGGTGTAAATTTGTGGCTTGATGATTCTTGGTTTTGAAATAATCTTCAGGGACACTAAGAATAAAATCTATTCACAAGTGTAGGAGAAAAATATTACTGCTTGGTAGTGCTCAGAAACACAGCCAAGTCTGCAAACACTTCCACACAGAGCAACCCCGACCTCTCTCGACTGSATCAGCTCACCAAGGAACACGACAATATGTGAAGACAGCTGGCAGGCGAGGCAGAGGCACCATTCACTTCTGGCCCCGCGCACAGTACGAAGCTGCATTAAGTGGCTGGCCACGTTACACAGGATCAATGTCACARGGCGACTCCCAAATCCACATTATTTCTCCACTGGCCTCAAAACAGAGCCTGCTTTTCCTTGCTAGCAGCTGAAGAAAGCAAGCGTGGAGTAAAACTACTTACACTCACGTTCCAAGCTATCAAATCTATTCAAGAATTGCTTTAAAAAGCAAAGCCTGAAACACACACAAAGCTATGAGATACAGAACTCCTTGAAGGGGAGCCAAGCAGTGTGACAGTCCGATTTTCCTAACTTACAATCTGTACCTAGAACCAGCTAAAAGAGCTTTGTTTTTCACACACAAAACTATAGAAACACAGAAGTCAGACACCTAAAGTGTTCAGCAGGGACTCCCATGGATTTGTACACCCAAACAGTTCATAACTTGCTATTGCAGTTTTTCCTAAAATCAAGACTATATATGTAAATTACCCAGACTCATTCATTTAGCCAGCACACTGCATTTTTCTCCTGGGAATTTTCCTGTTCATGAAACCTTTATTCCAACAAGCTCTACATTTACAGCAAGTAAGGTTTACACTGGATATTCATTCAGCGTTTTTTGTCTTCCTTCAAAAATCAGGTAAAAGCACAAATTACTCTACATTATTCCATTTTTTCTTCTCCTCTTTTCACCATCAGAGATTAAAAAGAATTTTTCACTTGCAGAAACAGGCCTCTACCCATTAGTTCACTGACAGACTGAAGTAGAAAACTATTCACTGTGGGACAGTGACTAGATGAGAAAGAAACGTATTGCCAGCAGGATTCAAAGCTTCACCAGCTGGCAGAGGACAGTCTCTTCTGTGTTAAGGTGCCATCAGTGGGGAGCAATGCCCACAAGTGTCAGCCCCCGGGTGCTGGGAGAAGGCAGGGACCCTCTCTCAGCCAAAGGAGTAGGCCAGAACAAGCCCAGGATGAGCYGTGCCTGGAGCTCCAGTGGGAATTTTGCCCTCTAACCCTAGCCTGTCTCAAACTTTTTTCAAATAAATAGTAGCACAAGTAATTCCAGGCTCACTGGAGTCTCTATCAAATCTCTCTGAGGAGCTATTGAAAGCATCCAAGAGTCCAAAGTAATGTCTACGCATGCACTGTTGCTAAGTATAAGAATCAAAAGTGCTTAGCTTTAGATCAGAGTTGCAGTTGGTTTGGGGTATATATATATATTTGTATATATCTATTAATAACTATATTATAGCTATTAACAGTAATATTTGCTTTATATATTTAGGTCACATGCTTTATAGAAAACCTGGAATTGTAAGTAGGAGATTCATGATAAAAAATGAAATCTTTCGGACATGACCTTTTTGCACTGAGTTTACAAATGGAAACACAGAAGTGCTAGATTTTATCAGTTTCAGACCATTACATGTTGCATCGAATTGATTAAAGAGGAGTTGTTCAYAGTTTTACACACAGCCCAGAGCCTCCACAAAGGCCGTCCTTGATGGAAGCAGCTGATCATGGACACTCCGCCAAGACCAGGATGAACGGCTGAGTATTCGGACAGCAAAGACATGAGTCGACCCGGGCTCAAACGGCCTAATCAAGTGCCCAGGGAACTGCCAGGGGGGYCTCCTCTCCAGTTCCCAGCTGCACCTCCTCCAACGTTACTACCCAGGAGACCTGAAGGAGTCGCTTCCTAGGTGGCACGTCAAGTCATTTTGCATGTCCAGCTTAAAGCAGCACCCGCTATGTCTGTAAACAAAACTACTTTGTGAATCCCTATTCAAGGGAAACAAAGAGAATAAAAGAGTCGSCCCTGTGAATTACTAGCACATTATTTACTCTTTTAATCTTTTTCTTCCCAGACAGGACATGGGGGAAAAAAAAAAAACACCTATAAAGCAACCTGCAATTGCAATTGCTTTTGGCTAGGCAAAGGGGCGCTGAGATCACAGGCAAGACCTGATGCCAATCAATTACCAATCACTTTCGCTTTCCTAAAATAAGCATCTCAAATACAGAAAGTTAACTGTTGTTTTGACTTTAAAAGGTACTTTCACACAAAGGTAACACAAATGCATAGAATCCATGATCAAATCACAAACTTACATGAGCAACAAATGCATCCAGCAAAAGAAGTTCGTATCTTCTAAGTGTATTTCTAAGCAAGACTGGTTATGCCTGACTTCCGTCACCATTAGTCATCAGTGAGACAGAACAAAAAYGTCTTTTCCTCATCTTTCGTATTGAAGACTGACTTTTAAAAGTCCTTTTCCATGCCAGCCTTTCCTACCTTTATGACTCACTTTGGAATTCTCAGTAACAAAACTGTTAGGCTCATTAACACACGTGCTACCAAGCAATTAAATCAACAGCTTTTCTGCTTACATACTCAAGAGTTTGCTTTTAACATTACACACATATAAACATACCTTTTTTTTTTTTTTTTTTTTTTAAATATAAAGTCATTCGTTGCTACCATTTCATTAAATAGGGACATTTCTCCTCCTGGAATCCTGTGCACTCCTGCTTTTTCTAGAAAGGAGCTACTGTGCCCTAAGGGCTTTTTGAGGCTTCTCATATTTATATGACTGAAAATTGCCAGCTCCCCGTTGTTTTGTTTAAAAGCTAATAAATTTCTATCCATTCTATAGTATTTACAAAGGAAAGCACTACTCACTCACTTTCGTTACCTGAGACACACTACGTGACAAGAAAGGGTTCAATTATTATGTTGTTAGTACTACTGTTATCTCCCATACCTTCTTTCAGAAACACAGTTACATTTCATGGCTACTTATTATTTTATTTAAAAGATAGAAAATAAACTGAGTGGAAATAAAAAGTAGTACTGAKTATTAGACGTGGTTCTGCCTCAGTACACAGTTCCAACACAGCCAACAGAGGTGCTCTGCAGCATGCATCAGCTTTCTGTATTTGCTAGTTAAAATGATATCCCATCTTAACAAACTTTTGAGTTTTTTTTGAAGGAATCTGTATTTTCATTCTTCTTCCCATGTATCTCACAACATTTCAGACACGTTGTAGCCATATTGCTCATTGATTCTTAATGAGGGCAAAATAATCCAGGCAGCTTTACTGAACAGAACAGTACTCAATACTTATGAAAACTAGTTTCCTTCTCTACCTTATGTAGAGAAAATGCTTCCTCTTTACTATGCTCCCAAAATGATACTAGAAGTCTCACTGTTAATATACAATTCAATTCTGATGTGTTACATGAGAGTCCTACAAGTTATTTCGTCACAATATCACATGGGCAAATTTCCATGCAAACCCCAGGCCTCTACTAAAGGACCAACCAAGAAGTAAGCTTCATTTTCATCATTTGCTCCTTATTTATGGTAGTCTCCATCATTTTTTCCTGACAGAGATTATCAGCCACATCTTGATAGTGAATTGTATCCATAAACAATAATTTGGAATATAAAAGTAGACTTTGAAAAAACAATTTGMCAATAAATATTGAGCAGATGAAATATCAAAAGTCTTAGATGAAGCATTATAGTCTATGGTGTAAAAATCCATGAAAAGATAACCTGCTGCTACAATATTTTCTAACTAAAAGCTATAAAAGAGGTCGCTATCTATGCTGAAAGTTCCTGTGCACATACGTGCATACCACCACATCCAAATCAGTAGGTGCAAGTTTTCCAACTGTCACCCTTAAGACAGACAGTAATATCATTGTAACAGAAAATTTTCATCTCAAAATTAAATTTAAAATTATTAAAAAATAATAATTTCTCTTACAGTTACTTCCATAGACTATCATCAGTGATTCATTCTAACACAGCAGAACTATTTAGCTGTCATAAATAACTATAGTAAAGCATTCTGAGATAATAAGTTGTTACCGAAAAAATACATGAGCCAAGTTTCAACCGTTCTAGCTACTGCCTTAAGGTTTTCAGCAACAGCGACATTCTTCACATAAAAATGAGTACATTAAGAAATAAAAGTTATAGACACATGGTTTGGAGGGTATACTTTCAAAAACAGGTATAAGAATACCTCTAACATACTTTCCTGGATACACTGTAAGCCAAACACTTATGAAAGGTAGTGCAAAAGAGATTAAGGGAAAATATATACACACACACACACACACACACACACCAGTCTTTCCCTGGTG